GTGGTGCGCTGATCCAATCTGGCTGAAGTCTAGTCTGGAAAAAAAATAAATCAATGCAAAAATAACTGTGATTTTTCATCCTGACGTGACACAAGGGAAGGGGAATGGAAGCAATTATGGTTATTTGATGACTTACAGGCAGCGGGGTGGGTTATTGCTGCGTTGGTACAGAAGCATGAGAAGTTAGATCCGCATAAGAGAAGTACAAACAAACTCTAAACTAACAAAGGCCGGTTTTGTACTATTTTGTAATTGTAGATGGGCTCAGAAAAATAGCATGAGCTAACCCAGTCTGGATTTTTCTTGCTTTTCTTTCTACTTTACTCCTTATAGTTCAGTGGAATGAATCTAAAATGTTACTTTGCAGCTATATACAGTTATGAGAAGTGAGCCTTTATTCTTCAGACCTTTCAGAAAGAAATAAGCTGCTGTGAAAGGTTTTTACTGGGAATGTCAGACAAAATGCATTTTTTTAATTTCCCTTTCATGTGCCGTGTCTTTGCTCCATCACATTTGTCACTTGTTTGATCCCGTTCACCCTAAAGGGACATTTGCAACCACTCCCCCTATTTATCCCATCTTCCTTCTCTCAACAGGGATTTCTTTCCGATTTTTCTTGCTCAGTCTGTTATATCAAGGGCAGAAGCTCCCCCTGCTGTCGCCTCTTGTGGCAGTACTGGACACTCCATAGGTTTCCAGCTGATTTATTGCAACAAGCTGCAAATTACAGGGAAACGGAGGAGATAATTATTGAAAATGATTTAAAATACAATGTAATACCTTTTTTTTTTCAGTTTCAGCTTTTCCTGAGTTTAGCAGCAGCACCAATACGATTTTCACAAGATTCTTTTTTTCCTCAGAAGCCTTTATTAAAAGTGCAACTGATTGGGATTAGCAAACCCAGGCAAAAAGGGGGTGCATTGGAAAGTTTACAGCTTTTACCCCTATCAATCGGATGAGCAGGTAGGCGCCACAGTGTAGCAGACAAAGCTGCAAAATCTGGCACAAAAAAAGATGAAAACACCCCAAGAGGCGCGAGCGCCCGCGGGGCCGCGGCCG